TATCCCAATTTGAGAAAGATGGCGGTTATCAGTAAATAGGTTACGGAACTCCAGCTTCTTGTCTATAATTTGGTAGTGTAGTACGTTTTTATGGTAGAATTTTCAAGAGTTATATAGTGGTCAATTCTTAGTATCTGAAGATTCAAAAAAAAGTTTCTAGATAAAATATTCAAGGCAAGGGTTGTTTAAAATGAAGTAAAATCTGTTGAAACGATAACTTGATAAACTATAATCTGATACATAAGTATTCCAAAGTGGATCTCAAAATGTCTCTTGTGTCCATTTTACTGAATCTTAGGATAATTGAACGTACGTCATTGATAATTCATGCAGAAATATATTATTCCTTTGATTGCTTTTAGTTGTTTTTGAGCAGAAGAGGGCATATTTTATTCCCAATTACAAGTACAGGTCACTAATTCACAAATGTATTTATAAATAACGATTACATTTTTGTACAGTTACTATAACTTTTTTTTTTCATACGAAATCATTCACAAATAAGAACACTAATAGTTGATTCTGTCGTTTGATTCGCATGGTATATTGTTAAGTAACTAAATGAAGATAAAATATGAAAATAAATTAATGAAATATATTTAATTTCTATGGTTTTTTTTTTTTTTTTTTTGGAATCCATAAATAAGAAAGCTATAAATTATCATGGGTTTAATCAACCATGGATTGTATAATTTTTTTGCTATGAGTAAAGGAAGTTTTCTTTCATAACTTCGTCTCGAACTTGGATTGGCTTCTTTTAGGAAAAATATCTGGTGTGTTCACTCATACGATTTTCCAACTGATTTTAAACAAATTTATATTACTTTCAATATATCCAAAAAAAAAAAAAAAAAAAAAAAAAAACTGAATTAGATTTATTATTATTATATTAATTCTTAAAAACCGATCATAGGAATTATTAGACTATGATTTCTTTGATGAATTAAAGAAATGTTATCGAGCACGTGAACCATAATTGAAATTTGCTTATACAATTCAAAAATACTGTAACTTTGCTAAAATTGAATCGATTTAGGCATTTTTTTTTTAGTAGGGGTACATTTAATAATCTTTCAAAAGATTGCTTCTATATAAGTTTTACCATAGAGTTTATACTTTGTGAGTTAGACCTCAAAACATTTTTTTTTTCTAATTTTTTCTCCTAAATTTTCTCGAGGATTCAGTACATGTACGAATATTGATGTGATTTTAAATGGAAGATTATAGAAAAACATCATCAAAATCTTTAGTGCCATTTTTGTGCTACAGTCAGTGGAAAAACATGCGTTTCTATTTTTTCGCAGATGTTATTGCGCAGAGAGCTCCCAAATTATTTCACAGGTTTTGATAGTCAAAATCCTACAAAACAAAAAAAAAAGAAGCAACAAAACCGGGCGACTGTTTCCCGAGATAATTTTCTTTAGTTACCAATGACTGAAAAGACCTAAATGATATTAAAGACCACTTACAATGATACACTATATATAAGTATACAGTTTTATTAAAATCGGTAGAGCTGTTTTTGAGAAAATTGTAAAAATGTGTGTAACCTTAATATAAAGTTGTACTTCCGGTTAGCCGATTTTAATAAAAAAAAGTTCCTGAAACATCCCAGCCATATACCTATTTTAAATACGTAATATCAGTTTCATACGACTTTTCGTTTTTTGAGCTAGATTGTTCACACACACAGAACACTTTTTTATTTGGGCTCAGGGATCTCTAAACGTATCTTTCCGTTGAAAACTCAAATTCGAAAATTTCCATGATCGCAGTACTTTCCCTTACTATATATTACATATATTGGTAAGTGAAAGTAAAAAATACAGATTTTTTTTATTGACAAGTTTATTAAATAGTGTCACAATCTGCCACATTGAAAAGCAGGAAGTTCAGTAGATACTAGCAGACTAATTGGAAGTTAATATTAATTCTATTTGAAGTTAAAAGAACTTGAAGAAGCGCTTACGTACTAAAAAATGTGTTCTTGATTTTACCTTCGTATTAATGGTTCGTATTATTTTAATGACTTTCACATGACAAGCTGGAAATACTGTACTGCATAGTAACTGGATGATAATAAGTTTAAAACAATGAAATATTGAACGATAAATAAGATCTATTTCACAGTGAAGTTCAAATAGTTCACGCTTTATTCATTCCGGCCTTTGGCATTTAGAAACGGCTAAGGTCAAAATGCATACACGCTACTACCATTGACGTAAATGCGATGCTTTGCCGCTGAATGCATTATCGTGTCAAGCGTTACTTTTTCCAGTTGAATTGTATCTTTTTCCAATTCAAAAGTAACCTTTTCCATTTCAAATGCAATTCTTTCCAATTCTGTAGTGAATTTTTCCTTTTCGATTGTAACAAACCAGGCGATAATTTATTCTTAAGTATTAGGTATTATTATTTTTTTTTTTAATTTAAATGTAGTTATTTTATTTGCAATAATAACTTTTGAAATAATTCTATCGTATTTTTATGATATTTTCTTGGTTTATGAAGTAATTAATATTAAATGTTTATTTTATTTTGTTAAGTGTAAGTTTACAAAAAGCGTGAAAACATCCAAATAGATTCTGGTTTGATGCCGAGTGTATGAAGGCGATTAAGACACGCAATAGGCTTCGAACCAATTGGTTAGAAAACAACACACGACAGAATAGAAAATATTTCCATGATGTAGGCCAGACTGAAAGAATCATCAGGTCTAAGAAAAGAAAAAATGGATGAATAAGCTTCAGAAGATAGAAGAAGCCAGAAGCAACAGTAAGGCCGAATAGTTCTATAAGGGGGTCTAGCAGCAGAACACAGGCATTAGAAATAATAAGCTGGTTATAAGGAATGAAGATGGACGCCTAATGGTCACAGAAACAGAGCTGTAAGAACACTGGAAGAAATACTTTCAGACACTCCTGAAATCTGCCCTCAGTGTTGTCACGAATCACAAGCCCAGTAAATTATGCGAGTTTCAGTAATGGGGATGAAGATATTCCACAATAAAAATATTGAAGCTATTTTTGAGAAGCTAAAAAGTAACAAGTCTTCTGGACCAGATGAAATACATGCATAATTTTTAAAAGTGGAAAATTACGCATTATCTAGTGAGATAAATAGCCTAATCTATCACGTTCGGCTAGTGGAAAGGATGCTGAAAGAGTGGTCAGAAGCAATGCAAGGCTTAGACATTCTGTGCTACTTTTAAAATATGAAGACGATATTTTAATGATAATAAATTAAGATCAGATTGATAATACCCTTAAATAGTTTTCACAATAGCCTACAATTTACGCATGAAAAACAGCTAAATAACTACATTCGTTTTTTGGATGTCTTGTTTATGAACTGTAATTGTCAAGCTACCATTTCTATAATTATTATTAATTATATCCATCTGGTGAAAATAAAGCAATTCGGCGTTGTTTAGCTACCTAAAGTCTCCTGTTAAGTGGACCCTCTTTTGGTCCAAATATTTTCGGCAATACTATATTTTCAGGAACAGTAAGCCACTGTTTATCCCTTAATATAAGTGTCCACGTTTCCAGTATAAGAGTTTTTATAATTTTCGGGAAAGAAGATATGAGCTATATTATTTTGCAACCGAAAAATAACAACCACTTCCACATTTTAACTTAAACTAAATTTCGTATTCAATATAGCTTTTTCTCGTTATCAACTCTAAATTCCAACATTCCGCTGCTGTATGTTAAAACATATTTGCTTTAATATCTATATAATCAAAATTAATCGCCATTTCTGTCCATGTTTTAACCATATAAATCTAACCATCTATTTTTTTTATCCATATAGATTTCAAGCCTTAGGTCTTTATCAGCCTTCATCAATCTTGATTTATTTAGTTTTTTATAGTTTCAGCCTTGCTTAACAACACCAAATCATCGGAATACCCGGGTGGGCCAGGTATTTTTCTACCCATATTCATACTTTTTTGGGCACGTATCATCTCCCTAATGATGTCTCCTAGTACTAAATTTAATAGGACATATGAAAAGTAATCACCTGGATTTAAACTCGGAGGAACCTTTACGAGGAGTTAAAATCAATGGGAAAAAAAATTTGGCATAAAGGATGTTGATGGTTTGTATATTTTTATGATAGGCAATTCATTGTGCATTCGGCTCTACAAGAAGCCTCCTCACACCGCTCAGCGGTAGAAGAGGAAACGATTACGAAGAAGAAGAAGAATATAGGCAATTCAATTTTTGAAAGACCTAACCTACTAAAATTTAATATATAACTAGTAGCAGGGCCGAAACAGGACAAAGAAGGCAGTTTCTCCTGGCAGTACCTTTTAGAGGGCAGTAAATTAAAGATTTTTTTCTTTAGATCAAGTAAAAATATTTTTAATACTGATGGTGTTTTATTTCGAAATTTATTGCCTAAAATATAAACATAAAATGAAGGTTTTCTTGGGGTGTCAAAATTAGGTTTTCTCTTGCTAGTAAAATTTTAGTTCCATCTCTGATGAGCAGATGCAATGGCATAAATAACGCTGATGATATCGCTTTGAGGAGTTTTTGGAAAACTGTGGTATGAGTCAACAAAGAAATTTCAACAAAATGAAAACAAAAGCAAACCATATATTACTCATTTCTAGTAAGTTTAATTATGTTCTATATGTTTAAGAGTGAGTTTAAAATTTTTGCGAAGTAAAACTGAGATAAAGGTGTGATACCAGACGAAAGTATAACAATATTGTGTATCCATAAGAACCATACTTCGATAAACAGAAGTACTATACTTTTTGTTAATTGGCTCTAGTGGTCCTCAATCCCTGGTGCTCTACCCACTCGACGGCTCTCTCTATGTACAATATAACATAATGTATATTAAAGTTATTATTATTATGGATCCCTTTTCATAAATCATTGAAAATAAATAAATGATTGAAAAAAGTGAGATATTATAAATTTACCAAGATTATCGCATTGAAAATATGACCTATCCTAAATATCATATTTGTTATGTTACAGTGGCAGTCAACTCTTCCATATCTCGACCCAGGAGCGAGGGGACACCTCTGGAGCTAGCTCACCTGGTGGCTCCATCAAACATAAGTCTGGTAGCCTCAGTAAGAAGAACAAAGGTCCTCCCCAAGATTCTCTGGTTATAAATATCAAATGTCCATTCTCGTTCAATCATCTACCACAACGACCACCCGTCCATATAGAGTTTAAGAAGCTTGGATACTGCATCTCACAGGAATGCAACGGAGGTATACAAGTTACAGTGGTCATTCACAATTAAATATGTTGCTTTTTAAAGTCCCAATAGTGCTGCAAAATGTATTAATAATAAAATTTAAAAACTTGGTTCTCCATATTAAATATACTATGGAACGGAAATTTGTCTAGTACTCATATATTAGGTAATTGGTTTTAAAACTAGTTCTATCCATTTTCATAAAATTATTAAAGACATAAAAAATATATGACTGTGTCCTTTTTGAGCTACAGTAACTTCATTAGTTTTAAATCATTTTTATCCAGGATTGATGCACTTTTAGTTAATATAAAGTTGTTAAATGATGTGGTGCTGCATTTATGAACTTGAATAAAAAATTATAAAATCTTTGTGGAAAAGTAGATTTAGCTAGTTATGCGTTACTAATAGCCTTATATGAAGGTAAACATAAAATAAAATTTTGTAATTGGATAAATTCTTAAAATTATTTAATAGAGAAAAATATTCCAAAGTTCTCAATTGATTATACTTTTGTTTAACAATGTGGTTTCAGGGAATCGCAGTCACATAGAAAAATGGATTTAAATTATGTCATTTTATGCCAACGTTTCAGTCTAAGTTTTAGTCCTTCATCAGGGCTGAGGGCTGAGTTTTAGTCCTTCATCACTAAGAAAATTCTTTCCCACCATTAAATCGCGCTTAGAAAAGAAATGGGTCCTCCCGGACTACTGGGTCTCACAGATCCTCACGGGGCATGGGGGTTTCAGAGCAAAACTTTTTAAACACGGTAAAAATATCGACCCCTTATGCCCCACTTGTGGAGTACCTGAAACCGCTGAGCACATCCTTGTAGCCTGCACCAGCTATGAGGCACTGAGGGCCAAATTAATGAGGGATACAGGGCTTTTCGTTCTTACAGAAGGACAATTACCCCAACTAATGTCTGAACAAAACTACCCGCACTTTAAAAGTTTCGTATGCGGCTGGAAAAAAACTGTGGGCCCAACCCACTTCTCCCTGGGAAGGCGTGAAGAAGCAGTACCTGGAAGGCCGCTAATTAGGACAGGAGAAGAAGATGGAGAACAATAACTAAGTGACAAAATTAACAAGCAGGCTGTGTGCACAGCATTTTAAAAATGTAAATAGATAAACATGCAACAGTGATTTGTTATACAATGTGTATCAAGTCACTGCTGCAAACTCCCGTATTGTCTTAAAGGCAGGGTAGGGAGGAAAATAAAATAAAAATAAAAATAAATAATAATCAGGGCTGAGGAAAGACAAGATAACAATCAAACAAAATACTAGCCAGAAAATGATAAGATTTGAAAAAAAAAATGTTATCTACTAATATATAAATACTTAGAAGTGAATAACAAATTGTGTTGTGTAAGATAAATTAAAATATGTAACTACTGCGTATAGTGAGTGGTAAAGTACAAAAATATATATAATTTATTATAAAAATAGTAAATTTTTAAGATTTTAATATAAGAGGATAATGAATTTAGTCCTGATGAAGGTTATTAACTTCAAAGTGCTGTGTTTGAATGATACTATGGCTAAGATCTGTAGTGAAATTAAGTATCTTGGGATTACTCTTGATAGTAAGTTGAATTGGCTAAGCTATTTAGAAAGATCATTACGAAGGCCTTTCACTAACTTTGAGCATGTAATAGAGCTGTTGGTAAATTGTGTAATCCTTAAAACACAGAATGGCTTTATGGCTAAGTACGGTAGCAATTAGACCTTTAGTCTTTATACGTTGCCATAGTATGTTAGTATAAGGCTACGCAAGTCTAGAGCTTTGCTTGGGAAATCACAAAGGCTGATATGCCTTATGACAACTGTTTTTATGATCTCTTATGCTCTTACTGCTGCTAAGGAAGTTCTTTTGAACTTAACACCATTGTATATAGAGATAAAGACGCAAGCTTTAATGCTGCCTACAGAATTCTTTAATTTGGAACAAGATATAAATCCCTGTGACAAGGAATCCTGTTTGAAAGGATTGACAAGAATAAGGTACTGCAAATGCTCTCTGACTTTCAAGTCAAGAATTATAAAGGTACATACTATAATATCAGTGTCAGCAGAAATAACTCACACAGATCTTGTAATGGATTTAACTGTGTTACTTATGGTTTCCTGACAGAACAAGGCTGCGGGACTGGCATTTGGAGAATGGACAAACTGTGAGGGATTTTCCATGTTTAACTTTCAGGCTGAGATATTAGCAATTAATACCTGTGTCCAATTTCTAATAGAGGAGGGAGTGAACAACAAGCAAATCTTGATATTTAATATTTGCCAACTTATAGTGCTAGATATAGTCAATCGGTTATTGGTGCCTTAAGTGGCTATACAATATGGTCTAAGTTGGTAAAGGAAATTTAAATATTCTTTCTGAAACAAACAAGGTGAGGACTGAATGGGTTTCTGGTCTCTGGGTTTAGGAACTTTAAGTATTAAGAAGGAACATAACCTTGCTAGAAGAAGGAACATAACCTTGCTAGGAAGGGCTTAGAACAGATGCGTTTTGCATTAATGTATTTCTACTCATGGAAAGAAATGTGACAGGATTTTATACAGGTCCCTCTTGGCTAAATGAACATCTTTTTAACCAGGCATTAACTGATTCACCGACCGACTGCTTCTTTGTTCTGGAGAATGAAAATTCCAATCACAATATATGCAGGTGTACTGTATTATGGCTTGAATGTGGTATTTCCATTTTGGTTGTGATGGCATTATTAACCCTATGCTCTGCAAATTGATTGATCCCAATAGTATATACAAGTTCACAAAAGCTACGGTCTGTGTTAACTGATAATCATATAGTACACACTAGGCCTCAATGAGGCAGCAGTGCATAATGCTGGAATAAAATTTTTAAAAAATGGCTAAATGAAAAATTTGTATTCTTATTTTTCTCTATGACTGCTATCCCCTACTTACTTCACTATCATATTATATACAGTCACCTGTTTCTCCACGATAATACATTTATATTTTATATTTTTATAAGTTTATACAAAAATTTGTAAGTTTTCATTTCATATACTATATATAATTTATGATTCAGGACAAAAAAATTTGCTGAAAGGTGTAAGTGGAAAATTTCAATGTGGGGAGCTGACTGCAATAATGGGTCCTTCTGGGGCTGGCAAAAGCACCCTTATGAATGTCCTTGCTGGATACAGGTAAACATTTTTTTAGATTTTTCATAATTCTTCTTTTCACAAAATGGTTAGATATTTTAGCATGATTAATGAGTCTTGCCTGCTTCTTTAATCGTGACTGTCATCTTACTGCATAGAAGCTATTGCTTCCTAGTTTTCAACTCTAGTTCTGTTTATTTGTTTAGGACTTTCCAACAGTATCTGGTTTTGGCTAATTCTGTTTATTTATTATATCTTGTGCAATGATCCTAGTTACATTAAGATGCATAAATTTGTTATTGCATCTGTATTGTAATTAAACATTTTTTTCTTTTCTTCAAATTATTCTTAATCAATATTTTACTGTATATCTCAAGCACGTTTCCCCTTAACCTTAGCTGGAACTGTTTATGGGTCAAACTAACTGTACTTTAGGTTATTGTCCTTGTCTGAGGAATATAGATAAATACCAATAGGACCAGCTTTTGTAGTAGGATCTTTTCTTTGAAGCTTTGGTAGGGAGTTACTTCTTAACTGTTTTTGGATAGATAAGTTATATATTTTTTTCCAATTCCTCTTCTGATATAAATAAATTTTAGTTTAGTTATGGATAGGAATTATAAAATATACAGCATCTTCCTGTGAGGTCTTGGTCATTAAACTACTTAAAAAATTATACTAGGCTGTAGAATATTGCATCGTTTGTTTTTTCAATGAGGTTTAATGCCACTATTTATCCCATATAATGCAGTAAAAACAGGTTTCCCTATAAATTATCAATCTAGTAGTAAGAAAACAATAAATTATGTTGGTTCACATCAAATCAAGTTGACTCTCCCAGTTCAGATTCATACCTGCTCTTTTGCTTTCACTATGAAATAAATGATGGTTGAACACCTCAGCTTTCAAAATTGTACATCAAATATAGTAATGTAGCATATAACTAGGTTATTATGTACACATACTGTTGCACTGATTTTGAAGCTTTTAATTAAGGACTAGCCTCTTGTTATAGATTTCACTCAGACAGTAATTAACTGTTTCATCATTAATTATCCATCACGAAAAGTGATATATTAAGTACATTTTATTAATATAATTAAGTACTCAATTCGGTGTTAATATTCTCTGATATTTGTTCTTCATCACTTCAGAAGCCTAAAAACAGATCCTACTCTATACATAAATATACAGCCGGCACTCATTCATTTATGAATTTTTTCAAACCATTGCTTAATGTTTGACAAAAAGTGGTCTGTAGTCATTTAAATTTCTAATTCTTAGTTTTCCATAAGTAAATATGTAGAGCTTTCAAACAGAAGCATATACTCATGAAATGTAGATATTCATTATGGATGGTTGATGCTTTGTTGATTTATCATGTGTATGGATGACTGAATTTAAGAACTCATGAGGTTTATTAAAACATGTTTCTGCTTCATAAATAGTATCTAAATTTCAAACAAAATATTTTATAGGACATCAGGTGTAACAGGTTCAGTATTGATAAATGGAAAAGAACGGAATGCACGCCGCTTTAGAAAAATGTCTTGTTATATAATGCAAGATGATAGACTGCTTCCTCATCTTACTGTATGGGAAGCTATGACAGTATCTGCTAACCTGAAACTAGGAAAGCACATGACAAAAAAAGAAAAGAAAGTTGTCGTAAGTAATTTTAGCTCTAGTTGAACATTATTGTTTTCTTGATATGAAGTAGTTGCGGAAGGTCTAGACAATTCCAGATCTGCTCTAGTTTTAAAACACTCTATATTAAGTAATGTCTACATTTTTTGAATAACTTCCTTTATTTTTATAAGATTTGGTATCCAAATCCATTATAGTACTAAATTTAACAAATTATGACTATTACTTAAAAGTAAATATTACTAATAATCAATTTTTAATCAACATTTAATAAAATCACTATAATATATACATATAAATACTATATTAAATATTTTTTCATTACTATTCTTTTTTTTTATTTATTTATTTTTTTAATATTAGATAGAGGAGATTTTGGAAACTCTTGGTCTGTTAGACAGCTGTGGGACAAGAACTTCAAATCTCTCAGGAGGACAAAGGAAAAGACTTTCAATAGCTCTTGAGTTGGTCAACAACCCACCTGTAATGTTTTTTGATGAACCTACCAGGTATGTAAATAATATTTACTTTTTCTATAGTATCCTTTTAAAATATATAGTAGAGCACACGTCTCCTAAATGTTTTGCCAGTGGTTCATATTGACAACTCCTATGTACAAGTATCAAGGGCCATGGTGATATTGATATAAAACAATATTTTTTCTTGATCTGCCATTAAATTAATTTAGAAGCTTTTTATTATTTGTTCTTAAAAATTAAAATATTAACATATTTCAGGTCCATCTTTTAAAAAAAAAAAAAAAAAAAAGACAAATGCCATAGGTGGATTTTATTTAAAATTTTCTAAAATGTTTTTCTTTATTTTAAATGTTTCAAACAGCTGAAAATTTTACAAGATAATAAAAACCCTAGTGAAGTATGTTCATCATACAACTTTTTCCTATTGAAAAATAGCACCTGTTCCTGGCAGCCATCCTTGCTTTTAATTCTTCTACCATTTTCCCAAATGTTTAAAATTTTCGACCACTTTTAGGTCTTGGTCATTAAACTACTTAAAAAATTATACTAGGCGTGGTTACCAATTGTGACACTGTTTCACTTGGGTTTTTTGACGTTTGCATGTAAATAGTCTTCTGTTTATTTATTTGTAGTCCTAGTTCTTTATTTGAGGTTTCAAATTCTTCTAATGCCCCAGCAAATACTGTTTTTTTTTTTTGCCGTTATTACATCATCAGCATAAACCAGATGCTGCATCATTCTGTTATAAACTGTACCACCAGGATATGTCCGTATTTATTTTATTGCAAATTCTAAAGCAATATTAAATAGAGTAGGGGATAAAGAATCTCCATGCCTAAGCACACAATTCACCTTAAAATCCTCCAACAATTGGCCATTGATCTTCACAACGTTTCTACTACTGCTTAGGGTCATTCTTGTCAATTTGACCAGTTTTTCGGGAATCGCCAATTTTGTTAATACCTTCAGTAATTCTCTCTTGTTTGTAGAAATAGAAATAGAAATTGAAAATCATCTTTATTCTGGGACTTTATACTATCATATGCCTGTTTAATATCTATGAAACCGTGATATAAGTCCATTTGGTACTCGCTTGTTTTTTCTAACATTTGCCTTATCGAGAAAATGTGATCTATAGTTCATTTACTAGGTCTAAAACCACACTGATATTTACCCAAAACCTTCTCTCACAAAATTGAACTTTTTTATTCAACAGAACTGCAAATACTTTGTATACTGTACTTAGCAATGTCAACCGTATACTGTCAACACCTCTATAATTGTCACAGTTTGTTTTTTCTCCTTTTTTAAAAACAGGGCATATGAGAGCAGTAGTGCATATGATATATTGTATAGGCATCTGTTCTGTCATCCAGACCTCCATTATTAGGTTGTAGATCTCTTTTAACAAATCTTAGCAATTCTTCACCATCTTTGCGTCTATACTATCCAGACCGAGACATCTATTATTCTTCAATGCAGCTATTACATCTAAAAAATCTTCATAATCTGGAGGCTCTACATCACTGTTGTTAATTTCCTCCTGTCCTACTCTAGAGCAGTTTCACACTACGCTGTTTGGAAGTGGTTGTTGAACACTTAATAAATCATTAAAATACACTCTCCATGTCTCCATGGTTTTTTATGGATCGCTGATAGGTTCACCCTTCTTATTTTTGTATATTTTCGTTTCGGGCTGGAAACCATTTTTGAATTCCTTCACACCTTTAAAGAATTTTCTTGTCAGTTTTGAATCAAAATCACTTTGGAGCATTTTGAGTTTGCTTATTTCAAAACTTCTCTTCTTCTGCCTACATATCTTCTTTGCGATTCTGCATATCTTCATTGAGATATTCTCATCTCTGATTCTTCTTGTACCAACAGTAAGCATTCTCAAACTTGTTGGAGCATGTACATTGATGATAGAGGTATTAAATAATTTTCCTTTTAGTCGAATCCCACATATTCTTTCTAAAATCAACCTTTATCTTCTTCTTCTTATTCGGCGTTACGACCCACTAGTTGAACATAGCCTACTCAAGCTTACACCACCGGTCCTGCCTGTTCCGTGCTGCTGCCTTCCAGTTCATAACACCGAGCAGAGATCTTGCATCTGCAGCCATGCAGTCTTCCCAGCGAAGTCTGGGGCGTCCAACCCGCCTGGTACCATACATTTGCCCAGCTAAGATCTTGTAAGGAACTTCGTTTGGATCCATCCTTATGACGTGACCAGCCCAGCAAAGTCTTGATACCTTTACGAATGCTGATACGTCTATTTGTTTGTACCTCGCTCTTAACTCAGCATTCGTTCTTCTTCTCCATGCACCTCCCTCATATATACCACCATATAGAATAGAATAGAATAGAAAAATAATTTTATTCTGGGACGAAGTCCCTTCAGAATAACAAAAAAGTACAGAAATTAAAATTTTACATCTGGCCAGATAAAAACAAACATAACAAATTAAGATAATGATAGGTCATTAAAGAAAAGAAAAGAAAAAAATATTGGTTATACATACTATATACAAAATAAAATAAAAAAATCTATATAAAAAACTCATGAAACCATGCTAAGATACTTAAAACTATGTACGATGTTAAAATATAAATAAACCCTTTTAGAAAAAATAAAAAAATACAGAAAAAATAAATGTATATTCTTCTTAACAGTAAAATCTGTTTCTGTTGAAAAAGAAAAAAAAAAAAAAAGAGAAAAAGAAAGTCGAATCTATAATAAGTATTCAGGTCATGGTTATGGAGCTATATGTGAATATGGTGTTATAGATAATGTGTAATTTTACATAAAAGATTAGCTGGTGCCTGACTGTTTTTGGGACAGGAATTGGAATAGGAGGGTTTTGAATGTAGATGAGGATGAAGAATGTCGAATTTTGATAGGAAGGCAATTCCAGAAACTAACAGAACGTGCAATAAGGGAGTTTTGGAACGAGGCAGATCTGTGAGAAGGAATGTAAAGGTCGGAAAGTCGAGATCTTGTGGAGAGGGAGTGGACTGAGGACTTGAATTGGAGAAGGTTGTAGGCGTAGGAAGGACGATGATTGTTGATCTCTAACTCAGTGTAATGGTGAGAGACATGGTAGTATCTCGGGGCACCAATTACAAATCTCACGCAACTGTCCATTATTCTTTTCAGTCTGTCACGGAGCTCCACCGAGAGTCCATCATACACCACACAGCAGTAGTCAAAGTGGGGGAAGATGAGAGAGGAAACGAGGAGTCTCCGCGTATGTTGAGGTAGGAGATGGCGGAAGCAATGGAATAGTTTGAGGGTAGAGACTGTCCATCGGGAGATGTGAGAAATATGGTGACTCCAGCGTATGGTGACTCCAGGTGACTGGCGAAGCACTTTTCGTTCAAAACAGAGAAGGAGATGCTCAAGGGCTTTAGTTGTAGTCCAACATTCTGAGCCATATGTAAGAACTGGTCGTATAATTGTCTTATAAATTCTCACTTTCGAGGCCTTCGACAACACATTACTTCTCAAGAGTTTATGGAGGGAGAAATAGGTGCGGTTTGCGGAGAGGATCCGTCTTTGGATTTCTTCTTCAATGCAGTTATTATGGTTGATCTGGGATCCTAGGTATATAAATGATTCCACTCTTTAAAATCTATGGCAACCTATCGAGACATGACTCCCACCATCCTCGTGGGTAGGTAGGGTGCACACATATTTCGTTTTTTCATCATTCACCATTAGGCCCAATCTTGCTGCAGACTCCTCTAATGCTTTAAAAGCTTCTCTCATGGCGTTTAGAGTCCTTCCCGCAAGATCCAAGTCATCCGAAAATCCTAAAATCTGGACTATCTTGTTGAGAAGTGTTCCTGTTACTTGGATACCAGAGTCCATAATAGCTTTCTCAAGGGAAAAGTTAAACACTAGACAGGCCAGGCCATCACCCTACCTCACACTTGTCCTCGTTGTGAATCCTCTTGAGAGCATTCCGCCCACTCTAACAAAGCATGCGTTGTCCTCCATCGTCATTTTCACCAGACGAATCAGTTTGGTAGGAATGCTCATATCCATCATTGCCTTATATGCTTCTACTCTGTTCATGGAATCGTAGGCTTGTTGGAAATCAATAAACAGGTGGTGAGTATGTATCTGGTATTCCCCTGTTTTTTTCCAACAGGATTTGTAGGGTAAACATTTGATCTGTCAGATCTTCCTTTTTGGAATCCAGATTGATACTTTCCGAGCTCTTGTTTGGCAAATGGAAGCAGTCTATTGAAAAGTATGATGGATAGAATCTTGTATGCGGTGGGAAGGAGAGAGATGCCTCTATAATTATGACATACCGATACATCCTCTTTCTTATGAATGGGGCAAATCAGCGTTTTGTTCCATTGAGTAGGTAGTCTTTCTTCTCTCCATATATCAATCAATAACTCTTGGAGAAATTTTATTATTTCACCCCCACTTCGTTTAAAGAGCTCAGCTGGGATATTATCGATTCCTGGAGCCTTTTTATTCTTTAATTTCCCGATTGCATCATGTATTTCCTCTTCATCTGGGGGCTCTATAAATACCTCATCTTCCCATTCCAGGAAGTCACTTGGGAGTGTATCGTCTTGATATCCTCTATTTAATAGATTTTGGAAGTCGTTTGCCCATACTTCAATGATTGCTGCAGTTTCCTCTGTGACCAGCGTGCCATCGTTTTCCCTATAGGCATAATTCAGGGGATGGAATCCTCTGCGGTCTTTATTGATCATTCGAAAGAATGCCCTGCTACTTTTTTCATTGAAAGCAGCTTCTATGTCAGCAAGCTTCAGCCTGCGCCAAACCTCTCACATTCCATGTAGCCAACATTAACTGTTTACAAGATCCTTTGACTCACCTAGGTCGTTCACTAAAGACAGTCCAGGTTTTAAGAGATTCGTAACATGAGATATTTAAGGAAGAGGGTTGTTGACCCACTGTCCCCGAGTCAGGTGAAGAGGCTGTCTCCTCAGAGCAGCCTGACTTGCTCCCCCTTCCAGAGCGGCTACCTTGGGAAGATAACACTAGGGTGTGTACTGTGAATGATCTTATGTTCAGTGTACTGTTTCCCCAACCTGACGGATCAGTGGCTGACTTCCGGGTGATAGGGCCGCCACCTTCCTTCACCATAAAGATATTTTGGAGGAATAAATTTTGAAAAATAAGAATTTAAGGACTCTAAGAATTTAAGGCCAGACTGTTCAAAGGAGTATGATAGCTGTCTGATATTAAATACAACTTAACTTTATATAGATATAACAAATTTAATTACAAATATTACGACTGTTATTGAGAAAGCCATTAAAAGGTGTAAAATTCATGGTGTGAATTGTCACTTCCCATTAGTCGAGTTTGGCAAAAAAGTGGCTTTAATATTCGAGAAATATCTTCACCTTAAATATATAATCTCATTCTTATTCTACTTTTTATTTTTGGGTGATGTTGTTTACATATACATGCATGTATGCACACCAAATTATCAGATATTTCAACTAAGGCTGAGTCACCTTTTTAGAGTTTTGTCACTTTGGGAATGAAACTACTTATCATATTGCCTGTGCAATAGGTTTGCTGTCTTAGTTTCAGTATTTAACATGTTAAAGTTTGAATTAGAGACAATTATTAGGCGGAAGCTGCTAATAAATTTATACAGTTTGGCTATTGAGTGGATTTGTAAAACTCATGGTACTATTTAACCGTGTTGACTGCAAGCAGTTAAACACTGCTTTATTGGAATAGAGAGCAGCCTATTGCACTGCTCGGCATTCTAGTTATGGCATCATATATCTATACTGCCCCTTTCTCCAGCTACAGTGAAGCTGTTGGCAGCAAGGCATTTCTAGGTTATGTTAACATATTGGATGATTGTTTTTATGATAAAATTCTCTTTGATACGTTTCATTTCCTATTTTTTTCTTTCAGTCAGGTAAAATACAATGAAGAATTGTTTAAAATTCAAACAAAGCTATAGTAAATCATTTTTTAAAGGTCGAAGTGACAAGATTATTTATTATACCAAAAGTAGTATTTTGCAGAGGAATTCAAACATATCTAAATCCAAATGATATTAAATAATTTAAAAAAATTTTAAACTCAGGTAAATACTCAAATCCAGATATTGAAAATCCAATTCGTCTTTTTAAATTAAAGTGCTTAATTACTGATTACCTATTGATAAAATGATAAAACATTGCTGTGATTTTCTTACAAATATATGATATTTATTGCTAACCATCATTTCAGTAATAAATACCATATATCTGTAATAAAATCACAGCAATATTTTATCTATTATTTAAGCTAATAATAAGTAATAACTTTAAAATCAGTGATACATCCGCAATTGTTTTTTTCATGATATTTACAACTGTGTTGCAATACAAATACATCAAGTAAATGTGTACACAGGAATATAATCACAGGAAAACGCTTGTTGAGAAATTATCCACTGGTAGCATTCTATCAATTCTTAAATTCTATCAATTCCCCAAGATTCTAAGTATCGCCACATAATCCTAAGCTTGCCAATAACTAGCATAAACAACCACCAACATCAGTCTTATGTTATTTGTTTATATTGTTGTTTTAGATAAAATTGCTTATTTTCTGTAAGATACAATTTTCATTTAAATGAAAATGCAATTTATATAAAAATAAATGTCCTATTTCATCTTGGGACTACATTATTTTAGTATTTATAACACAAAAATACAATAATCTATTGATATTTGTCAGTCATTTTAAAATTTAGATTAATGAATGAATTTTAATGAATGAATAATTAAAAAAAAAATCTTTGCAGTGGCTTGGACAGTTCATCATGTTTCCAGTGCCTATCACTTCTTAAATGTCTTGCCCGAGGAGGAAGAACTATAATTTGTACCATCCATCAACCTTCGGCAAGACTTTTTGAGATGTTTGATCACCTCTACACTCTTGCTGAAGGTCATTGTGTATACCAAGGAGATGTTTCTGGCCTTGTACCATTCCTCAGTTCTCTTGGCTTGGACTGTCCAAGTTATCACAATCCTGCAGATTATGGTGAGTAATTATTTTCTATATTTACATTTATCATTTTCTAGTGAAAAATAATAATTGAATTATTACACTATAATGAAAAAGGATGAACTTTTTTATTAAATGATTAATTTATTGTGCTTCAAGTTATGGAGGTTGCTTGTGGAGAACATGGTGATGTCATTGACAAACTGGTTCTAGCTGTTATGAATGGTAAATGCTCAATTTACAATTCCCATGAAAAAAATCAAAAGGAACTTTTGGCAAATGGTGACACAACTACCCGTAAGTTAGGCTAATTATAAAAACTAAAATAAATTAAGAATTTATGGTTAATTAAAAATAAATTATATTATATAAAATAAGGCTGTTGTTTTTATTTCACCACTTTTATATTAACATCGGCTATGTTTTGGCTATTAAGCTATTTTCAAGCCATTCTATTTAATCATGGCTATTACATGTAGTCCATAACTGAACAGTCCAGGGTTACCTCTTTAAAAGTTCTAAGTGGTAACACCAAGCTATAAGTAAATATAAGAGTAGTAAACGATTATTTAACAAATGAAGATTTTTTTTATATAAGCAGGCATATATAGAAAAAATCTTCATTTGTTTGAATATTTGCTTATAATCAATACAGTAAGTATCAATCTGAAACTTATTGGTTTGAAATGGAAATTTAGATTCATTGGACTACTCAAATGTATGAAAATACTAAAGGAATACCATGTTGACTTTGTTTATTATAATCAAAATTCTTTAAACACTTAAACCACAAAAACAAAAATAGTGTGATTATTATTATTATTTTTTTTTAAATTCAAATGCTCAATAAAAATCAATCTCTTTGCAAAGTGATGAGCAATAAAGTTATTGTCTCTGATTCATTTATTAATATTTGATTTGAATGATATAAATTTTGATCAAAAACTTTGATTATACCCAGTTATGAATGAGGATATAAATTAATATAATTAAATTTAGATTAAAACTTTGTTTACCTTAAATTTATTGACTTGATTTTATCAATTTTCCTTGTTCAATTTTGTTGTAAGCATTTGCAAGTTTAATTCAATTTAATATTATACTTTTGAAATATACTTACTTTCTACCAAGGCTTTGAAACATATCAGAGAAAATAACTAAACATATAACACAATAAATAGAAATGATAAATGAAAAAAAAAGTTGTAATAGGAGGAGAGAGTTAAGAAATAAATAAAGTTAAAAATTTATAATTTATTTTTAACTTGAAGCTTTGAATATATTTTTTAAAAATAGGGATTTCTAGATCAATTTATTTTTTATTTATTATCTTTACATGTAATTTTATATTGCAATAAAAACTAGAAAATTCGGTAACACTCCAGAAAACGTTTTCTTATCTAGAGATGAAAAAGTATGAAAAAGGAGCACATCAAAAAATTTCTAACATCAGAAAATTTAATAGTTGCATCCACACCATTCCAACAGTCAACCCTTAAATATTGATCTTCTAGCAATTGTGTTGGAGAAAACATATTGGGGAAAATGAAAGAACCACAATAATATTGCATGGCTGCTCAACTGCGTTTAGTTCCTAAATGACACAGCGTACTCAATCAATCAATAGATAATATTTTTTTTAATTTAACCCATGTCTAATGTATGCTTTCGAAAAACAAATTTTTTGAGTCATGTTCTTTTCATTCTGTATATGAAACATTTAAATAAATTTAAGAAACCCTTATTAATTGCTGATTAGAATTTTATTGTGTATTGTCAGCCAGAAGCCAATATAATTTAGTATTATAATTAATTTTGTAACGCTCAACAAATTATTATACTTTTGAAATTTAAACTGTAAAGCATTTGTTTATAATAATGATTTTAATTATATGATAATTTAGATAAGGAGGGTGGTGATGTGGCTGTTACATCATCATTGCTACATTCCGATGAAAGCCTTACCACATTGGGTCCTAACCCTGGATTTCCTACTTCAAGTTTTAGACAATTTGCTATTCTAATCAACAGAACATTTTTATCAATAATTCGAGACCAGGTAATTTCTAAAATGAAATATTACTTAATTCTGAAATATATTCTGTCAGTTCTAGCTTTGTAAGTTCTTATTTTTTGTCAGAAATAATTTTAAAAATAAGTTGCTATAATTCATTTCTGTGTGATTCATCACCTTTTCATAATTTAGAATATTTGTATTAATTTTTAATTTTATATTTATGGGTTGAGGTATTAATCAAGTATTTTAATAAACTGGTCTTATACCATCAAATTAAACATATTTTAATTTGTTTTACGACTAACTAATCTCTCCCCTCCTCTTATTTTATTGATTCATTTAAATTGCACCCATTTTTAAACAAAAAAGGACAGAAAACTTTAATTTATTCTTTCTTACTTGTTTTTTTTTTGTCATAAATTTGGCATTGATATCCTCTGTATCTTGTGATATGAGGGTTATTATTTATTCCATAATGACTTCTTGTAAATAATATTTCTTTAGAAAAAAATACCCTCCTACAGATGTAGGGTTCTCTTCCTTGGATCTCCAAATGCAGCTTTCATTACTAACAGGGCATCATTACCAATTTCAGACAATAACTGATTATTAAAAATTAACATTCCTAAAAAAATATATATAAAAAGGAAACAGTTAATGTAATGGCAGTTCACCTAATCCGCAATGGTGTCACAGCCTCTGTTCGCTGCGTAAAGATGCTGAGGAGGGGTTTGTTGTTAGTAAATTTACTGTGACCTTCGATCAGAATCAGAATCAGGAATGATGGACAATTCTGTATACTATGAGAAATTTGAGGTCTGAAGTTGAATTATATTGTTCTGCTAGACTGAAGGTTTTTAGAGAAAAGCAAGAGGTTTCCATGTTTCGTCCTCTCATTGCTGGAATAGCTAATTGCCATGCTTGAGTGTAAATAATTGAATACTACTTACAATAAAAAGAGAATATATTAACCCAATCTTAATGAGATAACTAACAAAACAGTTCTTCTCCTGAAATAAATAAAATAAATAAAAAGTTATCCAGTCTGTCACACACAGTATAATTTATTAAATATGAATTATTTGATGTTCTTAATAAAATTTACTTTTATTTGTTCGATGTTTTAGATGCTAACGAGGATGAGACTCTTGTCACACATTTTTATTGGTCTTCTAATTGGTCTTATTTATTATGATATCGGAAATGAAGCATCTAAAGTTATGAACAATGCTGGTTGTATATTCTTCACTGTCTTATTTTTGATGTTCACAGCAATGATGCCTACAGTGCTAACTTGTAAGTTATTTCTTTTTTTAAAATTTAATTTCAATAAAGGCAGTTGGATTTAATCAGTAGTAATATTCATTATATTTACGTTTCAGTTCCGATGGAAATGTCTGTTTTTGTGAGAGAGCATCTAAATTACTGGTATTCATTAAAGTCTTATTATATAGCAAAGACAATAGCTGATCTACCATTTCAGGTAGTTAAACTTAAATTAGTTCTATTTATAATATATGTATTTGTATTTATACCATGATAATTTTATGGTTCGTTATTAACTTTTTTTTTTTTAGATTGTCTTCTCTGTGGTGTACATAGCTATAGTATACTTTATGACCTCGCAGCCTCTTGATCCTGTAAGATTCTTTATGGTTCTTAACATGTGTGTTTTAACATCACTTGTCGCCCAAAGTCTCGGTCTTTTAATCGGAGCAGGCATGTCTATTGAGGTAAACTAAAATATTTTTCAATTCAATCAAATCTCTTTAACAATACTTGAAATTGGATTATAGTTTTTGAGAATAGAAATATAATTCTTAATGTCAAGCTGTCTCTTAATTCTCTAGTACACATGTGGGGAATATGCGGCCTCCATGCGCTAACTGCAGCCTCAAGAGGCCTCATGCCCTGTCAGTTTTTTTGAGATCGCCTTTAGTCTTGTGCTAGGATTAATTTTATTTAATTATTTAGATTACAAAAATTTGAAAATTAATAGTATTAAGTTGAGTATGGGTATGTTAGTGTGTGTGTTTAAATTTACATACAAATAGGAACAGTGAAGTATACAAATTTTTTATGGCCTCCATTCTCACTGTTTAACCTTATAGCAATGTCAAATAATATAAAAGTTATCTACCTATGCTTTAATACATCATATGAATGCAATCTGTGATATTATTGTGTGAAAACTTGTTCCGATCAAGGCAAGTTCTTAGTGAAAATAATTGAGTGTTTCATACTTCATTAATATGAGTATATGTATATATGTGTATGTATCAATGATTGTATGTGTATGTATATATGATTAATATGTAGTATTACCATTAATATATCTTATCCACTAGAGTATTAAGCATTCTCATTATTTACACACACATTATTCACAATAGTTGATTAACTTATTATGGGGATCATTTCAAAATTTATTGTTGTTTGTTTATGAAATGGAAGATAAGATTAGAAAAGTTATTATTTAAAAACTGATATGGCTAAGAATATATTTATATTTGCTTATGATTTTTATAACTTAGAAATAAGATATATATATCTTATATATATATATATATATATATATATATATATATATATATATATATAATATATATATATATATATATATATATATATATATATATATATATATATATATATATATAATATATATATATATATATATATATATATATATATATATATATATATATATATATATATATATATAACTTTCTAACGTGCTATTAATTTATTTTCTAATTTATAACTATTTAATTTTACTGTTAATGTTAAAAAAATTTTATAAGGATAATCATGATTTGTTCTTTAAACACTTTTAAAGAAGTATATGTCCTGGCTAGAAAAGAGGAAAACAAAATATTTAATTATACATTCTTCTCACACATGTTATTCTTACATTTTTCACAACTGGTTCCTGAATATAGGAATAAGCGGTTTATAAGACTTCATCCCTTTTTTTGTTGGTTAGAAATTTATTTCTTGTTAGATTTCTCTGTAATATTTTTTTTCGAGTTTTTTAAAGGTTTTTAATTATCTAAAAACTATACCTGACAAGTTCTCCCAAAAGTTACAAACATTTATTAAAGATTAAATCAATTTAATAAATCAGATAATAAATCCATTAAAAACTAAAGAAAGTTGTAGTTATTATTCTACTCTTAAACATTTATATAGTTACAAATTTCATATTCTCCTGGATTTTGGAACTGAAATTTGAAATCATACTCTTTTAACCAGTACAAAGAGATTAATTATCTAAAAATAATCAAAAATAATTTATATTTTTTTCAGACTGGAGTTTTTCTTGGGCCTGTTACTTCAATTCCTGTTCTCCTATTCTCTGGATTTTTTGTAACCTTTTCTACAATACCTTGGTATATGCAATGGGTGACATATATCAGTTATATAAGATATGGATTTGAAGGCTGTATGATTGCAATATATGGTGGTGGTAGGCCAAAACTGAACTGTTCAGAAATATATTGTCACTACAAAAATCCATCCAAATTCCTGGAAGAAATGGACATGTCTGGAGTTGAATATTGGACTGATGTTGTAGCCCTTGTAGGGTTCTTTATATTGTTGAGAATTTCTGCATATTTTGCCCTTAAGTTAAAATTGAAATTAAATATGTAAAAGTTTGATTTTCTATTTTGTGTAATACAAAATATTATTCAGTTGTTAAACATCCATTTTAGTTATGGATTAATGTTGATGTTATGGCTCAATGAAATCACTGTTTTTATTAGTAGTTTAATCTAGACGTAGCTCCATAATATAGGTTTATTGATTGCCGTTTAATATATATTAGCATGCTAAAAATGTTTCAATTAGGAATACAGTAAAACAAATTTGAAGTTTCAAAGTTTAATCCAAACAGTGTTTCTTCCATTTGTTTCTCACTGCATTCATAATATTGAACTTCAACTATCAATAGCAGTATTATTGTTTTAGAAAATAACTTTATGACACAAAGTCATATTTTACTATTCAGTCCTTGTATGAAATTTGGTAAAATAAAAGGTCAAAAAGACCACATACTTTGAATTAGTAAGAGCAATAATTCTTAAATATTTTTTACAAAAGTATAAACTTATTTGGATCGACTATACTGTAGGGCTGTGGATTTTCGCTAAGTATAGGTGGCCTGTGGATTTTCCACTTACCTTCAGCAAACATATTTCTTAATGTTATTAAAATTAATATTTTTATAGAACACTACTTAAAAATAAGCACAGCTGTTTGAAGATATTAACATTAAGATATCTTAGGAACCCCAATAATGTAAAAAAAGTTTTCACTATTTAAATGCCAAAGTTAGTAAATTGTGAATAATAATAAATATTTCTAGAGTAGTAGTGATATTTATCTTTATTATAGTTTTATTAAATCAGTAAATTGAAGTTGGATTTGTACCCAAGCAAACGTTTTAAATGTTTCACTTTGTTAAGGAATACCTATCATTCCATTTAGATTAGTGTATGAATTATCTTGGCTTTTCAATAAATTTTGTGGGGAGCAATGATTTAAAGTTTCAAAAAATATGTTTATTTAGCATTGAATGAGTCCCAAAACATGTTATTTCAGTATGAAATTTATTGGCAGATATTACTAGGGAACAAAATTATGGCTATGTATAAATATAGGATTGCAATGGTCTGTTATTTGTGTGATAGTTATTGAAAACTTATAATAAAATTTTATATATTGAGGAGGAAAGGTATGCATATATCTTTAATTGTGTATGCATACTTCAACCTAATTTTTGTGATTTTAAAAATCACTCTCTAAATGTTATTAAAATATTCTTGTATAATATACATTTATATTCATCTGTATTTCATTCAAAAATCAAATATAAAGCTGATAGATTTTAATTCTAAATTATATATCCATTTTATATTTATTATTATTTCATTAGTTTAGATTTTTATGATTATTTTATAATGGTTATAACATATCAAATATTAAGATTTTGTATATTAGATGATTCATGACATATTTTTAGATTTGAAATATTGTATTGTAAATAATGTAAATGATGAATTAAATTTAGGACCTATCAAGTCCCCATTTTCTCTTATAACTATTTAACATAAGTATCTATAATGGTAAAGCTATTCTAACATTGTTGATCTCTATACAAATTCATTTAATTAAAATATTATCAAATGGTTAGAATGACATTATGTAAAGTTTAAAGTCTGTTTTTCGAATTTGATTCCTGCCCAAAATGCAATACCCCTCCACTCCAAAACAAAAAAAAAAAAAAAATTAATAATAAATAAACATAAGTAAATAGAGAATCCAATAAATATGATATAGGGAATATGTTATAGGGAATATTGAGCTAATATTGTAAAAGTTCCCATTTTCTTATATTCTGATATATGTAAAGAACTCATTTTTGGCTGATAATTTTGCTTTTAATAAAAGTGATCGTATTAACAATGTATAAGCAACACTGAAATCATTAATTGGTAAATTTTAGATGGAGTGTAATACTAATTTCATAGCCCTCTTTTGAATATTTGGTAGTTACTGAAAAAATTATTAAATTGTTTAGGTAAGCAGTATTATGTTTGTTTTGGTTGATTTTTTTTTCTTATCTTTTAATTTTCTAAATTATCTCTTTTGATTGTATCTAGTATTGAATTTTATTTATTTTTTCAGTAGCTGGATTTGGGTCAATTAGTTTCCTTTGGATTGACTATTTATTTTTTCATATTTTTTTATGGGTTATAATTAAAATTTATTTTAAAGTTTGAAGATTTTATTGTTTCTTTTTCATTACCATTTTATAATTATGAAGATAGTACTAATTTTGAAATTAAAGTTTTCAGAAGGTACTTTGTACATTATTTGTAATTGTTTGATTTTTTTTATTTTTTCTAAGTTGTTACTTTTTTTATACTTCAAAAATTACAGAACTCTATGCTGCAAACATATCATACTGTGAAATTGAAATCAACGCTGTTTTTGAAAACTATACAACTTACCATTATATTTTTTACCTTATATTTTTTAAAAATATTTTTACAAATGTATGCATTTTTTTTATCAGCATTTCGTAATTTAAAATATGAATAGATTTTATGTGAATAATTTATATCTTAGATTTTTTATTTTGATTATAATCAATTAATTTAAAAAAAAATATTTTTACTTATTTTCTTAATTGTTTATATTAAGATTACAAATTTTTTTTTAAATATGATATTTTTCTTTTGTTACACAATTTTCAGTTGTCACACATATTCAAAGGTCATATTGCTTTTTGTTTGTAATATATGTAACAGTGTCTAGCTTTGTCAATAAGAAATTTCATTTTAAGTCAATTATAGTGTTTGAAAACATTTCGCTCCTTCTAAATGACACCTAAAATGCTAGTATATTCAAAGGATTATTTTTTAATGTATTGATGTTTAATTTTTTTTTATTGAATATTTTTTCTAGCTAGATGCTCTCTAATTATTTTTTGTATATCCAATACTTGAGATTTCTCAAAAAGTATGCCGGTTAACATGTATTGAGAATAAATGTTCCGAAAAATAAAACTTGTTTATTACATTTGCTGTAATGTAATATATAATTAAATTTATATTTTTAAGGATTTGTATTGGAATTTGTCTAATATCATCTTAGTAAGAAGTATGATGTAAATTCTTTTTTCAAAAGTAGATCTTATTTTTTTATAAACTATTGTAATATATTAAGTGTACAT